AGTGAGGAAGTGCTGTTGATCCAGCCCCAGGGCAGCCCGGACGCGTTCGGGGTGGAGGTGTAGGTACGAGGGGGGCTCCTTGGCTCATCGTGTCTTCGTTAATGCCCTGATTGCCGCCGCCAGCTCAGTTAGGGCGAATTACTTCAGTTTAAGATAAAATTATATAAATGCCCCAACACCGGTGTCCCAGCGCCTTGGCCAGGGCAATGGGGTCTCCCCACTCCCTGCTTTTCCCCCACCCCGGGTCTCTCCGGGAGCTCTGGGTGCGACGCAGCACCATGTGGAGGACATGGAGACACCCAGGGGCAGCCGTGGGGCCTGGCCGGCTGCACCCAGCGGTTTGGGTCCTCCTCGAGCTGCTCCTCGTGGTCGAGGAAGCACAGACGGGAGGCGCCGGCGGGTAGAATCCTCCTGACTTGTCCGGGCTGGAGACAGGATTGGTTTCCTCACCGTCCCTGTGCTGTTGCTGTCCCCAGCGGTCCCCATGACTCTGCTGGGGGAAGCCCTTGGCAGCAAGAGGAGAAGCAGGTGGCAGCAGCGCCGAGGGGCTCGGGGTGGGTTCGGTCACAGCTGGGGACGCACTGGAGGGCCTGGCACAAGAGGTGCCTCTCGCATCCGTGTGGATTTGTGGCCCTGGGGACGCGGCTCGTGGGCACTCACGGCTTGGTGGCAGGGCCAGAAGGGGGTTTGCAGGGATTTGCTCCCTGTAAATGCGGAACTGTTGAGCTAAAGCTTTCCAAAAAGAGAAGGAAACGTGTCTGGAAACAGAGCTGGAAAACATCAGCTCGAATCACTGTAGCCTGGCAAAGTCGTAGTCGAGTGAAAGAGGAGCAGAGAGGAAGGCCAATGCTGCTGCAGGCAGCACTCCGGAGAGGCGAGCGCGGGTGGCGGGACGGCTCCGCCGGGACGTGCTGCCGTCCGCGCCTCTCGTCTCAGCACCTCGTTTTATTTTCCGCAGCTTCACCTTTGGTCAGAGACCATCAGGTTAGCGGATATTGTGTTTTTGTGTTTTTTTTTCCTGTGGAAACGCAAGCGCTTTCCTCCCTGCAGAATGGAGGGGGAGGTTGTGCTGCGCTCCCACTCCGGAGCGGCTCTCCTGGCTCGGCGCAGCCGGAGCGGCCTCGTGCACATGCGGAGCAGGGTGCGCGGGCCCCGAGCGGCGCTCACCGCTTCCCGGGGGCTGTCGTTCCTGCAGGCTACCGCTACGTGATCCTCGACATCCCCCTGCTCTTCGAGACCAACAGACTGACCAAGTTCATGAAATACACGGTGCTGGTGTACTGGTGAGTGCCACACAAGACCCTGCCGCCTCTCTCGGTGGCTGGGAGGGGGTTTGTCACCTCCCGGCCTCTCCAGAGGGAATTTAGCTGCGGCCCCAGGTGAAGCCTTTGGATGTGCTGCCTCTTTTCCGTATGAGAGAGAAGCTCCGCAGTCCTTTACCCAGCCAGCGAGCGAGGGCTGCTCCCCGAGGCTGCTTGGAGACCGGGCACCAGCCCGAGCAGAAAACTGCTGTCTGCGGGTGCTGGGGACACCCAGGTCGCCTTGGGGGACACGGGGCGGGCAGGGCGGCCCCACGGGACGGTGGTGGCCTCCGGGGGCTGCTGTGTGTGCAGGGAGCCAGGGAGGGGTGGCCGGGCTCCCCGATCCATCCCCATGTCCCGCAGCGACCCGCGGACGCAGCTGGAGCGGCTCATGCGGCGGGACGGGCTGTCGCGCGCCGAGGCC